AATATTCATCTCGTTTGTAAAGAACACAATTAGTCGAGGTCCGAGTAAGAAACGTACGCGTTGTATAGGTATTCTGTCGCTTTCGCGGTCGTAAAGTCATCGTCTCAGGATATCCACGTTTTGCGCGGGGCTCGTGGGTCGAGGGGCGTTAGTGAAGTTGGCAACGGAGCACACGCACGCGCATATCTGGGTAAATAACTAAAAAATTGCTCGATAGTCGGATATTCGTCGGAATCTATCTGTTTGTTCCATTCTTGTAGCATGTCGAGGGGTAGCGCGCGTTCAGCGAGGCGTACGCGCCAGGCCACTGAACTCTTATCAAATGTCTCAAGCGTAAAGATGTGAGAACGCAGTTCGTTCAATAACGCTGTTATGTCCTTCGCTGATCTGGTTTTCGGTCGAGGTATGTCGATTAATGCGTCGATTGCCCGAGCTAATAGTATACGTGGTACGTCGAATACTTTCAGTAAAGCTCCCTACGCATCCTTATATTTTTCCCCGGTTAATTGATAGTGTTTGATCGTTTGAAGGGCTTTGCCGCGAAGGGAGTCGAGGAGGTAGACGAGCTTTTTTAATTCCGACACATCACTAAGCCCGTCCACGAGAGTTAGGAAGCTAGATTTAAATGGGATCCATTTCTGTATATTCCCGTCGAATCGCGGGATCTCTTGTATTTGTATTTGTTGATCGCGAATCTTTGTAATATCGTTGTTTCCGTTAGAGTTATTAGGGTTGTCGACCGCGGCGGTATCGACTGAATGAATTTTGTCTCTGATCACGTGGTATCTCTCTATAAGCTGGTCTAAATCGTCGACTTCTACCTCTCCGGCGTTATTATTACCACACTTTTTATGCAATGATTTGTAGTCATCTACTTGCTTGGTAAGACGTTCGTAACCCCTTCTTAATTCATCTATACCTAACTTTTCTTCTTCAATTAAATTCTCGAAGTGCATTAACCATGATCCTAAATTCTGCCGCTTTTGTTTCAGCTGTTTTTGCGATGCCATTATGAAGCGGTATCAATTATTCTATTCTGCGAAAGCTACTCAAATCAATTTGTGGTAAATATAAAAATCTCCTTCGTACGAATGTATTGCCGTGCGTTTGGTTCTCGATCACGCGGGTACGGTCCTAAGGCTATAGATCGTTAAAGGGGGTATACGTTTATCGTTAGTGGTAAGCTCAGGGAGGGTGTATACGATCGTCGATAGCTGTATGCCAATAGATGGGGTGTCCTAGCGCCCCCTGGATAAACGTGTGCAGGACGTCTCTGTGTCGCTCCGTCTTTTATCAGTGGAAAACTAGTTTTATTGCGATCTGCAATTATAAGTGTGGGATCATTGTGGAATGTAAAAAATTCTGCATAAGTGTGATATAAAAGTTATCTGCTTAACGTTGATTAACAAAAGTTTCCAACGAAAACATTTATCGTTTTCTTGTGGCATCATTTCGTCCGTCCATCTTGAACGCGTGCGCCGCTAGCGCCATCTCTAGTCTTTGCGTTAAACTTGTAGCATATACCATCTGAGCTTCAAGCGCGCGCCACTAGCGTCATATTGGGAAACTATTCCTCTTATCGACGCTGCTTCATGAAGCATTAAAAAAAAACAAAAGTCACGAGTGTACTGCGATCTCATCGAAATGAGCAAATTTGATAGGTTAGCTGAATTTCCAGTGCTGCAAAACAAAGCAGTGGAAAAAATGGAATGAACGAAAAACCATTTAGCCGCTCAAGACAAAGCAAAAAAGAGAAAGGATAGAAATGACGAGGAGCAACATTTTGAAAATCTATCTCTAAAAAAGCAATGAAAAAATGATTAGTATTAAACTGCACAGAACAGATGTCACCCTTAAGTGACATTGAGAAAGAAATTAGGAGCTATAAACGGTCTGACCAAGAACTTTAAAATATGAAGTTAGAAGAGATGGAAAATGAAGACCTACAAGAAATTAAAACAAGTTCTCTAAAATTTATAGAATGATAACTCTCCTTAACACTTTCACAACCGCTGACACCAATGTTGTGCTATAGGCAGGCTAGTCGTCGTACGCCGGTGACACTTATGTGGTGTCATTGGTAGGCCAGTCGTTATTTGCCGGTGACTCCTACGGACATCTGCCAAGGGGTGTGCCGGCGTACAGGATGGTGTCAGCACCGTCCTGGTGAGAAGCGCTGCAACTTGACGAGTCGACCAAGAGGTGTCAGCACCAAGGAGGTGCGGGACGCCACAAGTCTATCTTGAAGCGCTACGGAGGCTCTGAATACTATCGCTAGGGACTGAATACTTGATCACGAAATAAATTTCAATTTTGCTTTTTTATAAAAAACAAGGTATGTTGTTTCTGAGAACGTTGCATGAATACGATAAAATAATTTCTGGACGAAGGCTTGTTTTAGAACGTCACATTGTATTTCGGTATATAATTTCAGTAACATTGTGTGTTTTGC